TCATACACGAGATATAAAATTAGTGTCTGTACTGCTAGCCTTGACCGTTTGACCAATGTATATATCGATTTGCTATAGTCAAATTAGCTTCAAAATTAGGTTTTCAAAAGTCGTATGATTCGTGAGTATATACAGTATCCATTTTTCTGTAGAGAGAAAATTTCTCCCAAAATTCGGTGAGGCTTATTTGGAAATGTCTTCTATGTGCTGTGTCGCTTCAACAAGTGAGTGGTCATGGCTCTCCACAACTTCCTATCATTTCTAGATCCCTGCAATGTTCCCTGTTCTGCCATCCATTTACATTTACGCAAGCTTGTTATGTAGATTATTCACTGTTTTCTCTATCCATTTTGCCATCCAATATGCCCAGTGGGTGTCATATTTTCATGGCCTTCTTTCCTCATTAATTGTCCTAAAAACGATTTAACGGTAAAAGATGATCTAGTTAAAAATAAATGTATGAGTTCATGAGGGAAATATATACAAAATGAGTGAGAGGGAGAGATACCAACTAAAAGAAGGTGGTTAAGAAAAGGAGGAGAAAGAGATATAAAGAATGAGAGAGATAGAGTTATACAGTGAGATGAAGAGATTCAGAGAGAGATGAAACGATGTTAAAAATAAGTTTAAAGCGCGTAATTAAATAGAATTCTTATAAAAAATAGATTTTTCATTTTTTTTTTCTTTTTTTATCTTTATTCATATTTCAGTTCTAGCAAAAAATTAGTTAATATTTGAGCAGATGATAAGCACGCCTTCCCATTTTCCCCTATGTTAGGAACATTATAAATTTCCATTTTCGAAAATAAATGTTTTGTTTGATTTACGAATTATCAATAACTCTCTCTGCCTCTCTCTCTCTCTCTCTCTCTGTCTGTCTGTCACTTTCTCTGTCTCTCTCTCTCTCCCACTGCCTGTCTGTCTGTATGTCTTGTGCTCTCTCTCTCACTCTCTCTCGGTCTCTTTTCCTCTCCCTCTCTCTCTCTCTCTCTGTCTGTCACTTTCTCTGTCTGTCTCTCTCTCCCACTGCCTGTCTGTCTGTATGTCTTGTGCTCTCTCTCTCTCTCTCTCTCTCTCTCTCTCTCTCTCTCTCTCTTCTTTTTCCTCTCTGTCTCTCTCTGTCTGTCTCTCTCTCTCTGTCTCACTCTGCGTCTCCGTGTGGGTTTGTGTGTGTGTGTATCTGTTCGTGTCTTTCTCACATTCTCTCTTTCCTACTCTCTCACTCTCCCTCTCTCTTTCATTCTCTCTCTCTCTTTCTCTCTCTCTCTCTCTCTCAATCACTCTTTCTCCCTCTAGGGGGTCTCTGACCCCTTTGCTTCACCTTTTTCATGAATCAGATTAGGCCATAAATGAAGTATTACTACAGTATATGCTTTGGAGCTGCAGAATCTTTCCTTTACAGCTTTGATTTACTTCGTCCTGCCTATATATATATATATATATATATATATATATATATATATATATATATATATGACAAAGTTGGATAAGTTTTCGTGTAACGCGTTTCAGCCTTTAGAATTTCATCAGGCTTATGCTTACTTTGCTACGACTACACATGCGCAAGAACAAGTGACACTGGGAATTTTAAATATAAAGACGTTATTTATATGTTTGGGGAACAAAATCTAGCTAACTTAATTTAGATTATTTTTCTTTTTGTTTGTTTTTTCTATCACTTTTGTTATTAAATATCCCACATTGTGATAACAGAAAATATAAGAAACCATTTAAGAACCTGGACGTAAATTTACTGAAGATGATCTATCGATTAAAGCATTTTCTAGACATTTTCGTCTTAGTGAAGTGTTTTATCTTTTAACTAGAATAGCATCATTCAGAGGATGAGAAGATCGATGATGAAGCAGGCTGAAGTGAGGATTGGCTGACAGCTGGCGCTAAACAAAAACAGAATACTTTTAATAACGAATTAACTCGGGTTAAGAATGTAACAACGATTTGGTTTTTATATGATTTGATGTATACAGAGGTTTTAATTGTTGCCACTTTTTGTTATAAACAAATGACACTGGGATCCCCTTCGGAATCTGCTGCTTGTTTTAGTAGTAAATTAAAATTTCTAGGTTCTGGTTTTCAGGTCTTTATTCATTCCATACCAAAATGTCTCTGATAATTCTGTAGGATTTCACTTAATGGTTGAATACTTCGCTGCAGTTCTGCTGCTAACGTCTAAAATTTGCAGACTTATAGAAAAACTATGAAGACGATTGCATGAAATAAGCTGATCTTTGATTTCTGTTGAATTGACTTTCCGGATGTTTTTTTTTTTTTTTGGTTTTGCGATAGCTTTCATTGTTTATACTTCTTTTGAAATTAATTTCTAAGGCCCCCCCCAACTCTCGTTACACCCTCCATTCACGTAGACTCACCAAATATTTGACTCGCTGTCTTCCCATATCTCTCTTGCCCTCAATATGCTTCGTATGTAATGTTTTGATTACTTTGGCTTTTTCTTTAATTCTTCTATTTGACAATCCAGCAACTGAACCTGGAACAGGTTGCGCTAGGGTTGGTCTTTCTCAACACTGTAAGTTACCACAAAACATTAACTCAAGGAGTCGATTTATGTTCTTAAATAGACTCATCAGATCAAGACTTTCATGTGGATTTCATCCATGACGCCTAAGCCATTCAGCTTTACCTAAATTGTCAGCTGTATACAACCGCTTTCACCGAACAATGATTAAATATGATTAATGAAGCCTGCTGATTGTTGTGAGAACCATTTATTTCCGAATCTCGTGGTCTTGCGCTATAGAATCACAAAGAATTTTACAAAGTTGCAAAACCCACATCACTTGAGATCTTTCAAGAACAGCATCAACTAAAATGGATATCACATGTATTGAAGAGAAAATAATGACATTCTCAAGATGTTAAATTCCATCACACTAATGGAATACCCCATCAATACTGGAAAGCGCGATAAAAAGTGGAGTTGAGAAGCCTTATTTTCCTGAGAATTTCCTTTAACATAAGGATTTTATAAATTTCAATTGGCAGTAGCACTAGCTGCTCGGTCAATGAAAGCCGAATATTTGCACCAATCATCATCATCATCATCCTTTTTGTTTGAGCTTAAGGGAGATTAGTCTCAGTTCTCTATAAATTGTGTAAAGACTTGCATGGGATCCCAAAAAATATACGATCCACACCTGGTGGCACAATCTTTTATTATCATTATTTGCAGATAGGGCCCAATTATTTATACTATCCTATCAGGTAACCCATTCCTCTCAAACAGTGTTTCCATAAATCTAGAGGTTTCTCCCAAATCGACTTAAGTGCCTCATTCTTCAAAGTTAAAAGAAAAAACGTCTTAACGTCCTGCCAGGATGATTCCCCAGTAATGATACTCATGAACAGAGATGCACAGTTAATCAGCCCTTAGGAGCCCTAGAAGAAATATTCCATTCGTTATAGTCAGAAAGTTGACCAGCCAATCTTTAGTACTGAGTAGAATATTTACTGTAGCTCATGATTAAGTGATTACACACTGTTCGGTCCTGTATTGCTGTCCCCAGTTTCTAAATTTCCTACCCTGAGTCCCAAGCTATGGCGTCTGCTAAAGTCAATTTTCGTGAAAAGACACTTCAAGAAGAATGACACAGGAGTAACGATTTCCCTGTCCGCTCGGTGGCAGTGGCCGGGAAACTTTAATCCTTTTTGTTTGAGCTTAAGGGAGATTGGTTCCAGTTCTCCGTGAATTGTGTTAAGCGCTGCATGGGATCTCAAAAAGTATGAGCCATACCTTGTGAGGCAATCTTTTATTATCTTTATTTGCTGATGGGTCCCAGTTATAAATGCTTTCCTATCAGGTAACCCATTCGTTACAGACGGTGTTCGATTAACAGTGTTCGCCCAAATTTAGAAGTTTCTCCCAAATCTCCTTAAGTGCCTTATCCATCAAAGAAAAAGCCTCTTGACGACCTAAAAAATGACAAGGAAATGTTTTGTACTGAATAAGATAACCAGACAATTAGGATTAGATGCCATATGGGCCATCATCATCATCATCATCATCAGCAGCAGCAGCAGCATCATCATCCGTACACCTCTCTATGGTTGGTCGAAACTCCATTGACAATCCCTTTACACACTGTTCGGTCCTGTATTGCTGTCTCCAGATTCAAAAGATACTCTGAGTCCTGATCTATGGCGTCTTAGAAAGTCAAATTTCGTGAGAAAACTCTTCCAGAATGATGCCATAAGAGTAAGAATTAAACGATTTCCCTGACCGTTCGATGGCAGTGGCTGGCAAACTGTAATCCTATTTCTTTGAGCTTAAGAGAGATTGGCCTCACTTATCCGTAAATTGTGTTAAGTGTTGCATGGGATCTCCAACTGATGTTCTGGATTTTTCTAAGTAGATTTTTATATATTCCACCCAGTCGTCTTTCAAGACAGGCAGATTGTGAAAGGAGCTAGTAAATTAAAAAACACTAAATTCCGATATACTGAAGATATACCGATGACCAGACGAGGGAAAATGAGAGAAAACAATATTTGTTTTTTTTTTATTGGAAAAAAAATAGAAGGTAATTAAATTTCTCGTCCGCCGAAGAAGAAAAAACAAGGAGACCATCTGGTTTCGATTAAGAACAGAGATTAAGAGATAGCCTATTCTGGAAATCTAAGGACCTCAGGGAAATAAATAGATAATATTTTTACGATCACTCAGCGACGGAAATGTAGACGACCTCTGCCCGCGATTTCGTTCGATTGACTTTTAAACTTTTAAACGCAAATAGGTTTAAAAAAAAAAAAAAACATGTGGAGAATGACAAATGTTTCGTCTGCCGAGACGGGATAAAATTTCCCAAATCGAGGGATTGTCCCCTTCTTGCCACTTGTTGACCAAAGGGTTGACGAGGGGATAAAGATGATAAATTCCAGATTCGAAAACTACCACACACAAAAACACGATGAGAAAGAATTTTGAACGATAATTAAAATTTGGCCGTTGTGCTAGGCCACACCTAGCCCTTGGGGTCGGGTTTGGTTAGATGACCAGGGAAGAGAGGCCCCAGTTGGAATTTCAGGGAAGGCTGAGGATTGTCCACACCCCCCTCGAGCAGTGATGGTGAGAGGCTCTCATACAAAGAAAGAAGGAGAAGGCCCAGGTAGAATTCCAAGGAGGATGTGGGGCTCCATCATATTTGGACATTTGCAGAGAGCCCTGATTGATTGTTTGGGGAGCTCTAGCATACCCATAGCACATCTTGTCCCACTCTAGCCCTTACGCATTGGCCCATAAAAACAGAACGCTAAGTAGATGCAGAGACATGGATGACAGAGGCACCATGGAGAGCCTCTGTGATAGGAAACACACCGGCATGTCTTCCGGTATACAAGGCACTGGACCATCCGTGTCCAGGTATGATTGGGTAAGGATTGCTTCTATGCATTGCTCACCAGCGTCCGTCTAAAGGACCATCGGCTTCTTGAGACACAGTCGACATGGCCAGTGTTAGAGATGGAGGCATACGATATCATGTACCAACTGCAGACGTTGGACTATTACCTGTATGGGGCAGTATTTACCATTAAGACTAACCATAAACCTCTCCAGTATTTGTTGGAGGCTGACTGGCCAAATAAGATCCCACACATTATTTACATTATTCGGACTATTGTCCTCATCTTTTTTGCCATCACAACGTTTCGGCAGTTGTACGCTCCGGCTTTCTTCAGGTTGGAATGTCGAACCGAACCCTTTATTTCGCTCACTGGGGTCGACTGTTCTAGTTCAGAAATATAGACGGACTAAGATTCCGCAGTAGGCGTTGAAACTGAGCGGGTTCAACTGCAAGATAGAATATCAGGCCGCCAGAGACAACACATGTGCGCACCTGTTTTCAAAAATAAAGTAACTGAAGGCGGAATCAGTGAAGATGAAGACGGGGGTAGATGATAAGGCCTATCAGAATAGAGTGATTAAGTGAAATATGCTGGGATCCGTTCCGTGAGGGATACCGATGCGGAAGAGAGCACCCAGGTGATAACTGATCCTCACTGTATGGGGGAGATTGAGAAGCGACAGATGGATAGTGATGTAGCCGCCCTCAAAGCGAAGGTGTGGGCAGGAGAGATATATAGTGAGCTTTGTAGGCTGGCTAACAAACTGGCCTAAGGCGTATGCCGTGTCAAATAAGAAAGCCCAGACAATGGCTGACTTAATATTGAACGAGATATTCCCTAAGTATGGAGACCCTGTGCAAAGTTGCTTACCCAGGCCAAGAGAAGGATAAAAAGTGCACAAAAGAAGAGAAATGATAGAGTGAATAGAGGGAGAAAGGAGGTAGAGTTAGGGGTTGGGGACCCCGTGTTCTGTAAAATTCACCAGAGAGAAAGAAAATTGAACCAGAGGTGGGAACCGCATTATAGAAGAGTGGCAGGGCGAGTTAAGAGGGCTCATGCTATAAAGATCTAAAATTAGCCGAAATAGCTTATTGCAAGGTAAGGGAATCACGGATTCAAAGAAGCACAAAGGAAGAAGGTAACCGTTGTGAAGCCGGAAGAAATGGAAACGGACGTAGACAATGAAGCGGACAAAAAAGAATGAAGAGATCCGAGTGGCAGGAGTCGTGCTTGAGGCCTTCTGAAAAGGAGAAAAGGGATGTGTGGAGGGGGGAAGAGGACGAAATACCGCTGTCCCAACTCATTAACCCTTAAGCAGCGACTGAGAGAGGCGGGAAACCCAAAACCTCAAACAAAAGAATAAGGCTGTGAATAATGCGATGAGCGGATTCAGTGTCGGTGCGCAACGATATCGTATTCATTAAAAAACCATCTAGTAAATAACAGTAATTATTGGTTGAGGGTACTGTTATGTGGTAACTTACAGTGTTGAGAAAGACCAACCCTAGCGCAATCTGTTCCAGGTTCAGTTGCTGGATTGTCAAATAGAAGAATTAAAGGCTTATAAGAAAAAGCCAAAGTAATCAAAACATTATATACGAAGCATATTGAGGGCAAGAGAGATATGGGAAGACAGCGAGTCAAATATTTGGTGAGTCTACATGAATGGAGGGTGTAACGAGAGTTGGGGGCCTTAGAAATTAATTTCAAAAGAAGTATAAACAATGAAAGCTATCGCAAAACCAAAAAAAAAAAAAACATCCGGAAAGTCAATTCAACAGAAATCAAAGATCAGCTTATTTCATGCATTGGTCTTCATAGCGCATCACAGAGGACAGGAGAAATTACTTGCTGGTGCTGTCGTTGGATTGCTCATAGACCCTTGTATGTTTAGCGATTGTATCGGTGAGATATGACTTTTGGGGCGAGAGCGCCTCGCACCTATCCGGAATTGAACAGCCAACTAAAGATTGGTTAAAAGAGGGAGAGGTTATTATTAGGAAACAGTTAAGAAAAATGAGATATGACAAGCCAAGAAAGAAGGTACCGAGATAAGTAGAAGAAATAAAGGGAGAAAGAAGGAAGTCCTGTCCCAGTAGTAATTGTTAAAGGCCGTGAGAAAGGAAGAAATAGACAGACCTCATTAGAGAGTAAGTTATTGTTTGCGGTCGAGAAAAAAGAAAGAGAGACAGGTGAGATAAAAAAGAGAGATTTTTTGCCTGCTGTCAAGAACGGAAGTATTAGGCTCATGCTTTAGGAACGTGTATGTCTGACGGTGATGTCGATGGGACCCTAGCCTGGGGCGGAAAATACGGCGCGTCTGTCTAAAATCAATCAATCTACTAAATATTTAACTACGGCAAGAGAAGTAACGTGGGGAATCTTGTTGTCCTTGCAGAAATGGATGGTGTTAAAGGGCTAGTACTGCTACTGCCGAGGAGACAGAGCTTGAGTACGAAGCGGCCAGGGTAGACGTCATAGATAATATTACCATTACAATTACTGGGCGATTAACTGTGAGGTAATGATCTGTGACGTGTAGTAAATTCATTTCTCATTGGGTAAGCTATTATCCAGGCCTTGTGTCAAAACTAGGCTACGCTTAGTAAATAGCAAAGAATCAAAGTTATCATTATAGACCTCTTACATGCTTCGTTCAAATTTTGGATCAAGAAATATTTTCGTTATAACAAAGTTTTATTCCCAGAGGAAACATAATACGATGTAATGGTGTGGTCTCTCTATACCAGTGAATCTTAATCGATTCATTCAAGCAGGAAAATTGGTTGTCAGACCAAATTGAATATGTTCTATACCTTTCGAAATTTGCTTGTGAGCAGAATCTTTTACACTTCATCGATTCCGCCTTTAACTTTAGGCACAGCGTCATTTTCACGTCACTTGATTTGACGTAGATTTTTTTTTCCCTTGTTTTGTTTTTGCCTACTTCGTAAATTAGATCCTGCTTCTTTTGAAATCGCAGAGAATTGTACCCGTCAGGATGGGAATCGGAATAAAATTTAAATTCTTTTGGTATGCAGTAGACGATAAAAGCATTCGTCATCGAATTACACAAAACCTAGATTGTATTTTTAGTTTTACACATATTCCAATAACAACACGAATCAACATTGTTATGATCAATTAATTTCCAAAATATCCTCGCTGTGAACTTATACAACTATGAACTTAAATTAATGACTTTTTATGTTACATGGAACCTTTTTTAAAAAGTGTGTATGGAGAGCACTGATAGTTAAACAATTAAAATTATATAGAGTTATTGCTTTTAAAACGAAAAGTAATCTCAGGAAAGTAGGCCATCGAGAAAGGGAATTTTTAACGCCTTATATACAAAATATATGCATTACCGGCTACCAGAGTGCTCAATTCATAGCGAAGAGCTTTTAGCGTTAATTAGCAGCAGCGGACAAATGTCATTTCTTCCAAAGCGCTCAACCTACGAGAGGACCGTATATATTATTTACACCGCATGTTTACCTTTTTCAAATCCATATATAAATTCTATGATGCAAAATTTCACACACACACACACACACACACACACACATATATATATATATATATATATATATATATATATATATATATATATATGTATGTATAAGCGGACATTGAAATCAACACTCAGAGGCGACAGGCTGTTTCATGCTGGACGCATTCGGCGGCCAGACGATTGCGTCTAGCATGAAACAGCCTGTCGCCTCTGAGTATTGACTTCAATGTTCACTTTTATATTTATATTTATATACGCTCTATCTCTGGTATTGACCACTTTATCCCATAAATATAGCACATCTTAAAACTATATTTCTTTATATATATATATATGTGTGTGTGTGTGTGTGTGTATTTAGCTGTCTTCAATTTTGTGTGCGTATATATATATATATATATATATAGTCAACGATAAAATTATTTATACACTCATTAATTTTTAATATTTTTATCCATTTCTTAGAATCTATTGTCCGCATGATACCAGTTTTAACATGTTAATAATGACAAAAAAGGAATATAAAACTCATTTTCCAGACCAATAGATTAAATACAACAAATTTGACAGCGAATTATGCAAAATAGAAAAAGACAAAATGATTCGAGACAAATATTGTAGAAGAAAATGATGTGTTTATCTGAAAGTTCATCTGACAGTTTATTTTTTTTTTAACTTGTGAAGTGAAGAACGCTGAGTTGAGTACTGTGATTGGCTTGACTATTGTTTCAGGGGAAGTAACTGAGTATGGTATTGTCGAAAGTTTTTTTAAGAAATAAGTATAAAAACTATTAGTACAAACCTCGATATTTTAAACTATCTCCTGTAAACATTTTTAAATATTTGTGCAGTATTCATAATTAATTTTATTAAGGTTTGGTTTCAATTTGTTAACATAGAAGTTTTAGTTTATGTTCATTATTTTCATGAAAAAGTGTAGTTGTATTTTCACCAAAGAATTTTTCTGATTTGCCAATCTGGACAGGTGTGCTGTTGTAAATGTTTAAAAATGATGGACGCGTCATTCAAATGAAAAATCAGCCACCGAGACAACGTGGTTGTAGTGTGGCCAATATAAATATATATTTTTTTCCGTTGGAGATACAATCTCCCAGAGGATATAAACAATGTTGGTTTTTTGCAACGAGTTACTTGGTGGTGAAGAGTCGTTACGCATGATTGAATTAGACCTACTGGATTTTGTGTAATATATAAATATATTTTGTACTATAGTCTGTGGTGGAAATGTTAGTATTTATTAATTTTTTTATGATATTTTAGTCTTGTTTATAATTATAATGTGTTTGGTTGCGATATAAAAGATTAACATGTATGATGTTAGTTGAAAAATATTATATTTTATTTGCTTTGTATTAAAATTTCTTATAGAACATCTTATTTGTTCATCAACCAAATATTTAGGGAAGTTTTTATTAATAAGAGTTTGTTTTATATTATTTAGTTCACGGTAGAAAATCGGTTTTGTGGATTAATTAATTTTTGCAAGTTTTATTAGGTTTTTTAAAGTTGCTATTTTATAGTAATTTGGACATTCACTCATACAGTTAAGGGTGCACTAATTATTCTGGACAACACCATACTGATTTACCTCCCCTGAAGCGTTAGTCAAGATGACATTGTGCTATGCCGAAAATACTCAGAATAAAATATGTATCAGTAAGGTGATTTTCTCTCTTCTTTCAATAATGACACCAAAAAGCTTGTCCCTGAATATGGAAGGATCCAATTGAAAATAAATAGACAAAACGTTTCTAAATTATTCAAGGAAAGCATTGTTCAATGAAAACATGTTGCCAAAATATACGCAATATATATATATATGTGTGTGAGAGTGTGTGTGTATGTGTGTGAGTGCATGTTTTATTATTTAAAAGTTATTTTTAGTGGAAACCCGTACTTATTTACTTACTTTCATTTTTAAGGCAATTCACCCTAAGCAAGACGGGAGTGCCACTAGCTCGCAAGAGGTTACAGAGGATTGATAACAAAAGTAAAGAGGCGTGTCTGAGGAAAGGATACAGAGAAGGACAGTGAACAATATCAGGGTGTCAGATGTCGATTGACATTACACTTGAATATTTCAAGATTATAGTCATCGGGGAAGCAAGTAAAGGGAAGGGAGTTCCACAGACGGGAAGTGCAGGAGAACAAGATGCTTGAAAAAAAGAGACGGTTACATTTAACCGTTTTGACAGTGAAAGGGTGAGACCGAGATGCCAGTCTGGTAGCTCGTTTAAATTCAACGCGGAAACCATATTGCTTGTCAGAGAGCAGATTATGTGAAGTAAAGTGCTTAACCACTTCAGCGTTGATTAAAACATCGAAGACTTTACGGAATAGTGGTAAGAGACTAATAGGACAGTAGTTACATGGGTCGGAAGGGTTTCCAGAGTTTTTAAAGACAGGCACAACAGATGAAGACTTCCAACAAGCAAGAGTCAGTGAGGCCGTAAATTTTAGAGAGGACAGGAGCTAATTCAGGCGCACATTTCGTCAGGACAAGAGCCGGTACCCCTTCCCCACCACTAGCCTTATGGAAGTCTAATTTAGAGATGATGACCAATGCCATCGTTGGGTTTATGTACATCTCACTCAGTAGAGCCTCAGTTCTAGGGGGAAAGTCCTGTGTTGGTATACCAGATGAGTCTAGCGTTAAATTGGATGAGAACTTACGTGCAAAGTGTTCAGCCATATCATCTGAGGAGGTCAAGACCTCAAATTAGTTGAATAAAGGTGATATTGAAGATTTGCTGCTGTTCAGCACGTTCTTGCAGAGCCACTAATAATCTTTTAAACAAAACTTGCGAGGCGCAATACATTGATTAAACAGTATATTTATTTATTTTCGTCTACCATCCTGAATATTCGAGAACTCTTATTAGAAAAATATATGTGGTCTCCGCCAAGTTGCGATGGATAAATTATTGTCTATCTACGCAAAAATGAAAATAACACTGACATCACATATTAACAGATAACCACATTTACATCAAAATGTCTTGAAATACGAGTAAATGTAAATGTTTGGTGGTTGATTTGGGTCTGATTTTACTTAAACATAAGGTAGATAAACATACGTTATATTTTTAAGAATGGATTTAATAATGGTTGGTGATGTAATTAATACGCAGGGTGCAATAGCTAAATTGTCGTGTAAATGACGCAAAAAATGAAGTGACATCTCGTTTAAACAGATATATTTACCAAAATTACACAAAAATACCTTGAAATATTAAAGAATACATTTATTTAATAAAATCGTCATTGGCTTCAAACACGGTCTCCAGATGACATCGGAATCTCCTGCACCTCTTCTGGACGATCTCCTTGTTTAAATTGGTGAATGTTGTCATAATCCTTGCCTTCAGTTTATCGTTGATGTTACAAGAAATTTTGTTCGTCTCTCGCTCAACTGCGCCCCACCCATAATAATCAAGGGGGGTGCAGTCTGGAGAGTTAGGAGGCCAAATGTAAAGTGGAGTGTGTTAGCAGAAATTGTCTGAAAGTCATGACTGTGTTCTCCTACTTGCGTGCACGGTGCAGAGTCCTGTCGCCAGACATAGTGTCTTCCAGCAGCCACTCTCTTAACCAAGGAAAGTACCATCTTCTCAAGGCCCTTCATGTAGACCGCAGTGTTGAGTTTGTAGCCCTATGGAAAGATGAATGGAGGTATAACATCGCCATCACTATTGATCACTCCAAACTCCTTCGT